CCGGCCGCTGGCTGCGCTAGGACCCACGGCGGCCGGCTGCCGAGGACTGGTGGGAAGGGAGGAGCAGGAGCCACAGGGCCCGGGAGACCGGCGCCGGCCCGGGCGCAGCGCGTCATGTAGCTGCCGGCTCCCGCGCCCGCTTGAGGGTCTGCCCCGGGCCCCGCCATGGCTGGGAAGGACAGTGGGAACCTGAAGACGGTGAGGCTTTGGCGGGACGCCGCCCTGCGCGCCAGGAAGCTGCGGAGCAACCTGCGCCAGCTCACCCTCAGCGCGTCCGGCGGCTGCCCGGGGGCCGGCGCCGACCCGCTGGAGTCCCCCGACACTCCCCAGCTGGTGCTGCCGGCCAACATCGGAGACATTGAGGTGCTGAACCTGGGGAACAACGGCCTGGAGGAGGTGCCAGATGGGCTGGGGTCGGCGCTGGGCAGCCTGCGCGTACTAGTCCTGCGCAGAAACCGCTTCTCCCGGCTGCCCCCGCCGGTGGCCGAGCTGGGCCACCACCTCACCGAACTGGACGTGAGCCACAACCGGCTGACCGCCCTGGGCGCAGAGGTGGTGGGTGCCCTGCGGGAGCTGCGGAAGCTCAACCTCAGCCACAACCAGCTGTCCTCCCTGCCCGCCCAGCTGGGCGCCCTCGCCCACCTGGAGGAACTGGACGTCAGCTTTAACCGGCTGGCGCACCTCCCCGACTCCTTCTCCTTCCTCCACCGTCTGCGCACCCTGGATGTGGACCACAACCAGCTCACTGCCTTTCCCCAGCAGCTGCTGCAGCTGGTGGCCCTGGAGGAGCTGGATGTGTCCAGTAACCGGCTGCGGGGCCTACCTGAGGATATCAGTGCCCTGCGTGCCCTCAAGATCCTCTGGCTGAGTGGGGCTGAGCTTGGCTTCCTGCCCAGCAGCTTTTGTGAGCTGGCCAGCCTGGAGAGCCTCATGCTGGACAACAACGGGCTGCAGGCTCTGCCCGCCCAGTTCAGCTGCCTGCAAAGGCTCAAAATGCTTAATCTCTCTTCCAACCTCTTTGAGGAGTTCCCTGCTGCACTGCTGCCCCTGGCTGGTCTGGAGGAACTCTACCTGAGTCGAAACCAGCTCACCTCAGTGCCATCCCTTATCTCGGGCCTGGGCCGCCTTCTCACCCTGTGGCTGGATAATAACCGGATCCGCTACCTGCCCGACTCCATTGTGGAGCTGACGGGCCTGGAGGAGCTCGTGCTGCAAGGGAACCAGATCGCTGTGCTGCCGGACAACTTTGGCCAGCTCTCTCGGGTGGGCCTGTGGAAGATCAAGGACAACCCGCTGATCCAGCCCCCCTACGAGGTCTGTATGAAGGGGATCCCCTACATCGCAGCCTACCAGAAGGAGCTGGCGCATTCCCAGCCCGCGGTGCAGCCCCGCCTCAAGCTGCTCCTGATGGGCCATAAGGCTGCAGGAAAGACCTTGCTCCGTCACTGCCTCACCGAAGACAGAGTGGAGGGAAACCAAGGAGGAGGGGACAAGGAGAAGAGCTCCCCGCCTTCACCTCCTCCCGTGAGCAAGGGCATCGAGGTGACTAGCTGGCCAGCTGATGCTTCCCGGGGCCTGCGGTTCATCGTGTATGACTTGGCTGGTGATGAAAGTTACGAGGTGATCCAGCCCTTCTTCCTCTCCCCAGGGGCGCTGTATGTGCTGGTGGTCAACCTGGCCACCTACGAGCCATGCCGCTTTCCCACCGCCGTGGGCTCCTTCTTGCATCGGGTGGGGGCCCGGGTGCCTCATGCTGTGGTGTGTATCGTGGGCACGCACGCAGACCTGTGTGGGGAGTGGGAGCTGGAGGAGAAGTGCCTGGACATCCACCGCCAGATCGCCCTGCAGGAGAAGCATGATGCAGAGGGGCTCAGCCACCTGGCCCAGGTGGTGGACGAGGCTCTGGCCCGGGACTTCGAGCTGCGCTCCGCGAGCCCCCACGCAGCCTACTATGGCGTTTCCGACAAGAACCTTCGGCGACGCAAGGCCCATTTTCAGTACCTGCTCCACCACCGGCTGCAGATCCTCTCCCCCGTGCTGCCTGTTAGTTGCAGGGACCCCCGCCAGTTGCAACGCCTGCGGGACAAGCTGCTCTCCGTCGCTGAGCACCGGGAAATCTTCCCCAACTTGCACAGAGTACTGCCTCGATCCTGGCAGGTGCTGGAGGAACTGCACTTCCAACCACCTCAGGCACAGCGGCTTTGGCTGAGCTGGTGGGACTCCGCGCGCCTGGGCCTGCAGGCGGGTCTGACTGAGGACCGGCTGCAGAGTGCCCTTTCTTACCTGCACGAGAGCGGCAAGCTGCTCTATTTCGAGGACAGCCCGGCGCTCAAGGAGCATGTCTTCCACAACCTCACCCGCCTCATTGACATCCTCAATGTCTTTTTCCAGAGAGATGCCTCCTTACTGCTGCATAAGCTGCTCCTGGGGACCAGTGGAGATGGGGAGGCGGATGGGGAAAGCGCCTCCCTGGTGGGGCTGCCTGCCCCTAGCCAGGACCTGCTTCGGGCCACCCAGCTCCATCATTACGTGGAGGGCTTTCTGCTGCATGGACTCTTGCCAGCCCATGCCATTCGGTTGCTGCTTAAGCCTCATGTCCAGGCCCAGCAGGACTTGCAATTGCTGCTGGAGCTACTAGAGAAGATGGGACTCTGTTATTGCCTCAATAAACCCAAGGGCAAACCTTTGAATGGGTCCACAGCCTGGTACAAGTTCCCATGCTACGTGCAGAATGAGGTGCCCCATGCAGAGGCCTGGATTAACGGGACCAACTTGGCTGGGCAGTCTTTCGTGGCCGAGCAGTTGCAGATTGAATATAGTTTTCCCTTTACCTTTCCACCTGGGTTGTTTGCACGCTACAGCGTCCAGATCAACAGCCACGTGGTACACAGGTCAGATGGTAAATTCCAGATCTTTGCATATAGAGGGAAAGTTCCTGTGGTCGTGAGTTATAGACCTGCCAGGGGGGTCTTGCAGCCAGATACTCTGTCCATTGCCAGCCATGCATCATTACCAAATATATGGACCGCATGGCAGGCCATTACCCCGTTGTTGGAGGAACTGAACGTCCTGCTTCAGGAATGGCCTGGACTGCTCTACACCGTGCACATCCTCTGTTCTAAGTGCCTTAAGAGAGGGTCACCCAATCCACACGCTTTCCCAGGTAAGTGGGGGGAGGGCCGCTGGGCTTTAAGATGCGTTCGTGAAGGTGTTTGTTTCTCATTTGGCGGAATGTTTAATTAACACCACAGGTTCCCCAGGAAGGGTTTTCAAGGTAAATACAGAGAGATTTGGGAGCAAGTGAAAGGCAGTCAGTGTGTGAGCAATGTGAAATATTGTCACAAGTATACTTTTCTCTTAGAAGAACTCAGACTTCCAAAGTGGATTCCAGTCTGGATCTCCTACTTTCCCTCTCCTCAATTTCGTCCAGATTTTGTGGAAGGAAGTTTCAGGTAGTTGAAAGTGAATAGTGTCTGATGTTAGCCTGGTGCTAAGCCTTGGCTATAATGCATATTAGATACATTTTGGAGGGGTGCTTTTAAGTGTCCAGTATCATATTCTTTTGTTTAAGTTCAGAGTATGATCATAAAGTAAAAATTATTGCTCACTTAAAAAATTCTGGAGAAGAACGTTTTCATAATCTGAGTGTGTGATGGATGAGTAAAGACAAAAATTCCAAGCTATACTGGATTTTTCTGCAAATAACTGTGTCTTCTGCGTTTGTTTGCTGGTGCAGCCACGCCCTTCCCTCACCCCAGGTATTTTTATAATCATACTATGCTAAGTATTATTTTTTTGACAGCAACATGTGAAGGGATTGGCATGGTAACAGTTGTGAGGGTGCCTGGGAGGGAGGGCTTAGCCAGCAAGGGCTCACGTTATTTGTGTGAAAATACGGTAACATGTGACTAAATCCTGGGATTGTTGTTTCACCCAGCACACTCTAGGGCCTGAAAGATGGATAACTTCAGTCTCTCGGGAGTTTCCATGGGTATTTTGGTAATTTTGAGTTTTTCAGACATCTTAAGGTTTGACTTTTGGGACGTGTTTAGAGAATGGAGCTTTTCGACAGTGCTTTGGAGGAGATGGAGGAGACAAAAAGCTGCTCTGAGTTTTCTTTCCTGGGGAGTGTTTTCTAGCGAACTTTTTTATAGGTGAGTGGGAGAATTCCAGGGCGAGTTCTCTGGCATTTTTTGAGCCTGATGTAATTGGTAACAGAAGAGTCTTTAGCTGGAAATGTGTCCATTTCCTCATTCTCTGTAGCTCTTCTTTAAATAACTCTTGAGTTTTGTGGAACAGGCTTGGCTAACACCATTCCAAGTGCCCTAAGCACACACCAAAGGATAGTACCATTGCTGGTTCCTCACCTAGGTCCCCCACCCCCAGGGTACATTCAGGGGTGATGAAATGGAAGACTGCGTGTCACTTTGGTCTTCGTCCTATTCTGAGTGCCAACAAAATGCAGCTTGTAATGGTATCTATCAGGAGGGAATTGGATACCAATATTTCCAAAGGTAACATCTTCTGTTGCTCTAGATCTAGGCCGAGTTTAAGACTTCAGCTTGAAGAAAGCTCCATATTTAGGTACCAGTTAACTGAACCATCCATTCTGTAGATTCTCTGCTGTCTTGTCCCACTCTACGTCTCAGTAACTCTTCAGTTTGTTTTATATTTGCCGTTGTATTTTATTTATGGAAGCAAAATGCGTCTTTATTGTGTCACTTGGTTGAATGAAGTGGTTGAAGTTATGTATTCACCGGGTAGCTTGTTGAAGGAGCGCCCTGAAACCAGTTCTTAATCCAAAAATGGAGCATAAGTAGAATTGATGTCATTAACAACAAAGGAGAAGAAATCAGTTATTGAACGAGAGCTGTGCAGAGGAATTCCAAGAACTTGGAGGAGTAAACAGTGAGGCTGGATATCCTCCTCTAACTTCAGCTCTTTAGTTTTGATTTTTAACAGCCATAAATTCCACACTAACATGTTTGTACTGAGACATAGAAAGAAGCTCATGTGCCTGTTATTGCTTTGCCTGTTTGCCTTTAAAATGGGGTGTACCTGGTTTGCCACCCAGAGTAAAGGAAGATTTTCTTTTTCAACATGGAAACAAATGTTGAAAAATTGTAAAATTATATATTGAATAGGAATAAATCATTAGTTGTTTTTACAACACAGGGTGTACATTTTAGTCTTATTTACGGTCAGATGTCTCCCTTGATTTTATACCAAACAAAACCAAAAAAAACCAAACCCACTGCCCTCAAGTCGATTCTGACACATAGTGACCGTAATAGGACAGAGCAGAACTGCTTCATAGGGTTTCCAAGGCTGTAAATCTTTACGGAAGCAGACTGCCGCGTCTTTCTCCTGCTGAGCGACTGGTGGGTTGGAACCGCCAACCTTCTGGTTAGCAGGTGAGCACTTTTCACCACTGTACCGCCAGGGATAATATACAGAACAAAGGTTAAAGTTGAGTGAATACCTTTTAAAAAATGTTTTTATGTGAAAAGAGATGTATATTTGACCCTGCCCTATTTAATTTCCTGGCATGAGCTGTACTAACATAGTTGGCCTGGGAAGTGTAAAGCTAGATTTCTTATTTTGTTTTACATAAGAAATGTGATGTTTTGGATAGTCCTCAGTCACCAACTACTTGATTGTTGTTGTTTTTCCCTCATTTTCTAAATTTTATTTATTTTGTTGTTGAGAATATGCACAACAAAGCATACACCAATTCAACAATTCAGTGACATTGATTACATTCTTGGAGTTGTGCAACCATTCTCACCCTTTTTTTCTGAGTTGTTCCTCCCTCGTTAACGTAAGCTCACTGTCCTCTAAGCCTTGGCTGTAATGCATATTAGACACATCTTGGAGGGGTACTTTTAAGCATCCATTATCATATTCTTTTGTTTAAGTTCAGAGTGTAATCGTAAAGTAAAAATTATTGCTAATCTTTCGAGTTGCTGTTTTCAGTTCAATCCCATATAGGTAGTTCTTAAAAGAACATAATGCACAAGGCAGACCTTTTTTTTACTAGTTAGGCAAAACTATTTTTCAGTTTCAAGATGACTTCAGGGGATATTTTTAGTTTAAGGCTTAAAGATTACCTCAGGGCAGTAGTTTCAGGACTTCATCCCCCTCCATGGCTGCAGAAAGTCTAGAGTCCATGACAATTTGAAATTCTGTTCTGCATTTTCCCCCTTTTGATCAGGATTCTATGGAACAACCACCTGGTTTTTAACGTTCTTGTGAGAAAGATTTAATCACGTTGTCAGAGACTACCTCTTTCTCTTAAGATGAATGAGTTGAGTGAAAGAATGTTCTTTTGGAAAATCAAGGAGGCCTATGATGAAAGCTAAAAGTCAAATGTTTAAGTCTTTTCCTGCTTTCTGCAGATACTGGCCATACTGCCAGCATCTGGTAGCCAGGCTGTTCTTCCTTTTACCCTTTCTCTTCTTTTTTACTTGGTAGTATGCTCTTGTCCTTTGGAGCCCTTGGGTGGTGCACACAGTTAAGCAGTGGATTACCAGTTGAACAGTTGGTGGTGCAAACCCACCCACAGGCACCTTGGAAGAAAGGCTTGGCAATCTGCTTCCCAAAGGTCACAGCCTTGAAAACCCCATGTCTGGTTTTTGGTTTATGCTTTTGTCCTAGAGCAGGTTCCTTCTTGTGGGAGATTTATTTATGCTGTTGTTCTGTTATACCAGTATGAGATCTAAACCAGAGAAGTTGAGTATTCCTGAGGTTAGACGATGTATTTATACTGAGTGTGGCAAAGAGGCTAGAATGTAGGCCCACAGCAGATTCTAAACCAGTTAACCAGTTGCTATTGAGTTGATTCTACTCATGGTGACCCCATGTGTGTCAGAGTAGAACTGCGCCCCATGGAGTTTTCAATGGCTGATTTTTTGGGAAGTAGATTTCCAGGCCTTTCTTCTGAGGCACTCTGAGTAGACTTGAGCCTCCAACCTTTCGGTTAGCTGCCAGGAGCGTTAATTGTTAGCACCACTCAGAGACTCCCAGCAAGATTCTAGTGATTCGATATTTCATTTTCTTATTTCAGTTTCCTTTTTCATTCATTCAATAACTCTATGCCTTTCCACCACTCCCCAGCCAAGTGCCTCTTGCCGTTCTTTAATTGCATGAGCCCTTCATATGCCCTCTGACAGCGCGCAGCGTATTTTGCCTTGTTCTGCTGGTGTTGTATATGTCATTGTATCTCTTTATTAGGTTGTTCACTTGCTTCTTCCGAGCATGAGACAAGCCTTAGGGTTTGTAGCCTTTGTGAGAGACGTTCAGATGTTTGCTCAGTGATTGTGTTTGGGCTTTTTTGAGAAATATCTGTTTTTCTTTGTTGACATGCTCCGTCAAATTTCCCGGTAGTCTTCATATTGATAATCTTCCTTTGTTCTGTTTCCCAACTTCCACTGCCCTCTTCCAAACGTTCTCTAGTGTTCCAATTATGACTGCATTCGCCGGCCTTCCCTTGAATGGGTCCTTCAGTTTGACCACTGAAGCAAAGCAAAATTCTTGCCTTATGATATTTAAGTTTTAGAATTGCTGGAATTTGAGCACGACCTAGTTGTTTGGACTGAATTAGTCATTGTTTTTCATTCCACAAAGCTTATTAAACATCGTTTAAGTTTAGCTCTGTTAGTATTGATGCTTCCTTGCTTTTCCTTTTGTGGATGGCTCTCTTTGAACTCTCTTGCCTTTGTTTCATATAAAAATCAAAATCTTCATCATGCAGTGGAAGAAAGAAATACTGCACAGCGTAGAATTCAAAAGACTAGAAAGGCCTTTGGAGTGTTCAGATTATTTTAAGATGCCTAAGCATCTCGTCTTTAAGCTCTAAAATGGAACCTCAAGTCCATCCCTGCACAAGTAGTTTAGAATTACCTAGAGAAAGTATGTTTTATTTGTTTCAGACATTCTTTGTTATACTCTGCTGCAGGCTCCTGTTACTCCTGAGTCAAGTCTAAGCCAAAGACCCAAACCCACTGCCGTCAAGTCGGTTCTGATTCATAGCGCCCCTACACGACAGAGTAGAACTGCCCCATACAGTTTCCAAGGCTGTAGCTTTACGGAAGCCGACTGCCATATCTTTCTCCTGCAGAGCAGCTGTTGGGTTCGAACCACTGACTTTCAGTTTGCAGCTGA